ACAGAAGGGAGCTTTGTTGACTTACCAGAGTAGTTCAATCCTTGCTTTCTTGCTGGCTTTACAATACAGGAGGAAGGTCTCAAGGCAGCCCAGCCAGCACAAGAGTGTTTGCAGCTGCATAGCTGAGCTCACGGATAACCCCCTTGCAGCTGGCTGGCAAGATAAGGGGCAGGCTCAGCCCAGGGATGCCTCCCTCAAGAGAGCTTCCTGCAAGTTTGCTGCACGTCACGGGAAGCTGAGGCTTCACTGAGCAAGTCTTCCAAGAAATGTTCTTGTGAGCAGCGTCAGCTCTCATGTTTCCTGGGGGAGATGCTGACAGTACTGACAACTCTTGATTATGGGCCCATGCACTCAGTCCAACAGCAACATTGTGTAGCCTCAATTGCAAAGTAGTAACTCAAAATGTATTTCAACCTGGAAGGTGATGTCATTGGTTTGTACCACACTGCCTGAGCACTGTGGCCTCTGTTTCTCATCTCATCAGGAAGACTATATTGGGCAGTGGTGAGACCTAGCACTTTGCAGTGTGCTGACTCTGAGGTTTCCCTTGAGGCAGTGACACAAATCAACTCCTAGTTAGTAGTGGAATATCTGCTGAAAGAAATGGATTTCCAGTGACCACATTGGTGTCAATAGCTGAGCCAAGGAAAAAGATCCTCCAGGCACTTGCATCCTCTCATGATTATTATAGGAGCAAAATATAACTCTTGGTGTTTCACTGTCTATATTAAAATATCTAGATTCACTGGAAGGAAGACAGGCTGGGGAAGATAGTGCTTGGAGGGTCTGTTCTTACGGTAGCCAAATGAGTTGGCAAGTCTTGAAAAATGCAGCTTGCAGTTACTGAGAAAGACTGACCAGTCTTCCTTTATTCAGAAGTTGCACTACACAAATACTTGAACAGGTAAGTGCAAGGGTCAAAACTACATTCAGGCAGAATCTCATCTTCTCAAGGCCATGGCACCTTCACAGACATTTTTCTATCATCAGCCTGACTCTAGGCATTGGCAGTGCTCCTGTGGATAAGGCTGCCAGAATTACACCATGAAACTGCTGCTCCATGGGCCCAACTCTCCACTACCTTGTCCTGTGCACACTGTACAGAGCAGAACTTACAAATGCCCTGATGTTAACATGCTGATGTTAACAGAATTTAGGGTGTAAACAGCAGAATTTGGCCCTAACCAAAGGAAAAATCTCTGATGTTCTAAACAAAACAATTAAGCTTTAAATTTCTAGAAAGTTGGAGCAGATCATTCCAGTTGATTCACTGTCGCAGGCAGGCACAGTGAGAAAGAGATCTTGGGCTAACAAATGAACCCAGTTTTTCCTGCAGGGCCTGCTCTCCACTTGGGAGCAGCCTGACTACCACAGCACAAATCTGCTCACCAAAATTACCTTGCCTCACACCTTTGGTGCTACATTTACTCACAGGCAGGTGCTCAGGCCAGGTGGGGCACAGAGCTGGTCTGGAGCCAGACCCATTCTGGCTCTGCATGCCACACAGACTCAACAATGCTCCTTTGGCTACTTACAAAATGGGTTTCCTGGAACTGGATCCTGTCCAGCTGCTGACTGCTGATACAGACACCACTCCTAGGGAAAGCTTAAGGAGAGAAGAACTTCAAGATCATCTTATCTCTAAACAGGCCAGAAATCCCACACAGGAAGCCTTGCCTAGAGCCTGCTCCTACAGAATTAGTTAAAAGGAGAAACAGTGTCTATTTTGCTCTGCTGACCATAATGTATCACCAATGCTGCTCAATAGGACTGAAAATTAAACAGAAAGATGCTGGGTTTTTTCAATGTGTTTATTTCACTGATCAATTCAGGTAGTAAACATTAATAATAATAACAATAATCATTTAATAAAATGGATATGTTTTAAAAGGTTTCTTTTTTGTTCACAATGACAAACATTCAAACAGAAATTTACAAAAAAAAAATATATATATATTATAATAACCAAACAGATGGACAGGAAATAAGAGCCTAGGAATGGAGAAGGGTGTGAGAAGTTTCATGGCAGGAGCAAGACAGCGTTAAAGCACAGTGGAGTTTGTGAGGAGGAGCAGGGAATGCCACTGCAGAGCACGAAGAGTGGGACCCCCTCCTTCCCTGGGGGGAGGCATGCGGGGAGGCAGCCAGGGCTGCACAGGCAGGACCAGCACACACATACGGAGGTCACGCCACGGTCAGGCACGAGGTCCAAGGTGCTGTACTGCCAGCCCCAGCTAGCCCTGGGAGCGGGACACCAGCCTGCGGGCACTGACCCACTCAGCAGGGCAGAGCTTGGCAGAGGTGTGGGACTGTGCCTCGGGGTGTAGGGGTCGCATACGAGGCTGTGGGGGGTTGAGTGAGGGGCTGTGTTAAATTACTTTCCTGTGCACACCTCTCACTGCCAGAGCCAAATGGCAAAGCTGCATTCGTTCAGGAGTACCTTCTCCACTTACTGTGCAGCTCAGTGCAGTGAGACACTCCTCTACTTCTTTAATAAACAGACGCCACCTTCCAGGCCAGAGTCTGAATCCCTGGTGCCCCCCGAAGTCAGTCTCTAACCCTTTTCCAGGCAGCCTCCAAATGCTGGTGCTCTGGGCAGGGAACCCAATGCAAGGAGAGGCGATTCCAGCCGTACTGCTGCCCCTCTCTAGAAGCCACCCACCTCTGGTGCCTCATGCACATTTTTTTCCAAGTGCAATCTGAGCCATCTTTGCCAGCTGGTAGCTGAAGGCTTTAACTCTCTGCAGAGGGCAGACTTGTGACTATTGACTTGATGTAGGAGCCATGTGCACTGAGCTGTTGGAGATTTCCTCACCCAGAGGGACGGGGACAGATTCACCCTCAGCAATCCTGCCTGCCTGTAACTAGTGCACTCTGTCCCCTCCCCAGTACAGAGCACTTCCACACACAGCCCAGAACAAAAGGTGTCAGCTCCTCTATGTCCATGCTTAAGGGTAAAGTTATCTTCTAGGAATTGATCTGTTTGAAAGAGGAACAACTCCAGCTGGACAGGGCTCATTTGCAACAGAACATTCTCCTCACAAACAAGACAAGTGTAAGAAAAGAGGGGACAGGTACTGCAAAGTGTTTCCCATTATGCTAGCACAGATAAAGCTGACAACTCAGCAGTCCTTCTGCTTCAAAGAGTGGCAAACCAGCTCCAGAAAACCTGGAGGAAGCTCCTGTTTTGGGCTACTCCACTGCTCAAGTAAGCACATCACACAAAGAAAGGTTGGATTTCCTCCTTAAGCACTTTGGTCCCGCATGTTACTGAAGACAAGCTGAACCCTTCCCCTCTCCTAGGCTGGCACTGCCACTGTCACTTATAAGCCTAATATTGGGGAGAATGAAGATTAAAAACCATTGTTGGACACCACTCTTGCCCAGCTTGCACTTTTCTGTCAAGGGGCTTCCACCCTCACTTTGTCTTTCCACGGTGTGCCAGGGTCTCTCCCCTGCCCCTACAGCCCATGTTCTGGCTAAGCAAAGGCTCTGTACAGTGAATAACTGGAACCAGCCAACCTATTCACCACCTGGACAAGCCCTGATCAAGCCTAAAGCCCCACAGGGGAATCACACAAACCCAGTGCCTAATAACAGAATTTAAGGCCTGGCTATTCCTGCCCAACAATGCACTTCTTGCCCAGGGAGATCTACTGGGGAGAGACAGAGATGGAGAAGCAGATACACAAAAGGGGAAAGGGGACAGAGGAATCGGGCCAGGAGCCAGAGAAGCAGAAGGGCCCAGCCCATGGCAGCACTCCCTGGAGCTGGATGGAAGAGCCAAGTGTCTCTCCTTCCAGCAGCCTCGATCCCCTGCGAGCGCGGCAGTGTTGCTGCTGAGGTCCACCCTGTCAGGCACATCACACTCTGGGGCTCTGCTCTGGCTGGACTAAAGTTAAAAATACCTCAGGAAGCAGGAACAGGACAGAGGCTGCTGCCCAAAGAGTACTCTTATCTCCACCCAGCAGATCCACCAGCTTTCCCAGCACTGAGACAGCCTCAGACTGGGGAGGGGGAGAAGGGCCGAGTCCTAGGGGAAGGGCGGGGGAGCAAGTACCACGTGTGCTGGTCTGTGTTCAGCCCCACGCAGCGACACTCGGGCACCTGCCATGCTGACCCAGCACCTGCCTGCACAGGCAGCTTGCAGATCTCCAGTACAAGCCTACAAAAACTGCCTCTTTCCCCAGGAGAAGCTCAGAACTTGTGGAACTGCAAAGCCTGGTAGGGCACAGCTCTGCATTTGGGGTTGGATTTCAGCTCTAGGGTTTCTACCCCCTCCAGAGAAGTCTTGGGCAAGCAGTCTGGCTGCCATGGTGCTTTTCAGAGCAGAAAACACACTGCAGCTGTCTGACCAGAACTAAACTGTGAGACACCCACACCCAGCTACTACAGGGTTCTGGGGGTCCTCTGCCAACACCTCCAGCCTGATGTGGGCAGAAGCCATAGCTAAGAAGGTGCTCACTCCCACTATTTTGCCCTTACAGGCAGTAGTCAACAACTCATCATCTCTGCCAGAAAGATGTAACTGTGAGCAGTAGAAGATATCTTATCCTAATTGAACCCAAGAGACCCAGTCCCTTGCTGCTCAGTGCAAAGATCCTGGAGTTTCTTGGTATGAAAACAAAGACCAGTCAGCTAAACAAGAAACCCAGAAAAACATGGGCAGGAAACCAGGCAACCATCAGGACTCCTGAGCAGGTCAGTGCACAGAGAAACTCCAAGCCCCAGCTCTTTGAGCTGGCCTCAGGCTGAGGAGCTGGAACAGCATAGGTCCAACTCACAGGAGGCTGCCTTTACAATGCTTGTGCTGGCCCCAGACAGGGGGAACAGAGAGGGGGACACAGCACCTCGGTTGGGAGTAAACATCTACGTGCATTGACACAGATAGTCTTCAAGTTTGTACACCAGAGAAGCTAGGACTTCAAATACCAGAGCATTCCCAAACAAGAGATTAGTACATGGGAAAGGGAGATCTGTTTCTTTTCTTTTTTCTTTTCTAGGATGCCTTATAGACCTCCCAGGCTATTTTCTTTAAGGAAAAGAAAAAAAGGAGAAAAAAAAAATAATAATTATTAAAAAAGAAATACACATCAGTAAACTGTTAAAGTGAACAGCCTCCTCCACAATCCAGCTGACTGCAAAGCCAGCATTGCTGCTAATAAATTAGAGGGTGCAGGTGCAGCTCTCGCCCACAAGTCTCTGTACAATGGGAAATCTTAATAAACATCCACAGCTCTTGCCAGGCCTCAGATGGTCCCTGGGGGATTCCCTCTGCCCTTTGAGGACCTGCCTCTCACTGATCCTGCATCTGCTGCTGCATCTTCTGCAGCATCTCTTGCATCCGCCGTAACTGCACGAGACAGAAAAGAGGCAGTCAAAAAGGGATCTGTTGTGGCTGGAAGCTAGTGATCTGCACTGGGGGCACTCCCTTGGAGCTGACCAAGGGTTCCCTCAGAGAGTGTTAGCTCCTGCCTGAGCACAGAGGCATCTGTGTCTGGGCTGGAATGGAGCCATGTTTCCCTGATAGAGGAAGCTCCAGCTTTCACACACTGTCCTCCACACCAGGAGTCCATGATGGTGGGAGTCCGGAGTGCAAAGCCCCAGGAGATCCTCTATGGGGCAACCCTGGTGAAACTCCTCAGACACCAGCTCCAACACCAAGGAGGCCCAAGCAGAAATGTGTCTCACCTCCTCATCCTTCATTTTGATCAGCTTCTCTGTCTCAGTGTCCGGTGTTGGGAGAGGCAGGATAGGAATTGGGCTTTCTATCCTGTTGTCCTGAGTCAGCTTGCTGGAGAGATGGAGAGAGGGAAGAAACAGTCAGTCGTGGTTCAGGCTGGCTTGCTCTGGTGTCCCCATGTGATGGTTGTCACTCATGATGCCAGGACCTGCCAGCAACACAGCACTGTGCACCCAGATAGGTGGAGGGGCTGTGGGGTAACCTAGCCCAGAGGTGTGGGATACACACAGATATAGAATAAGACCAGTAATAACAGTTTTCTGAATAGAAGCTTGTGGGAAGCTAACAGAGAAAAATCCAAACCAGGCTTACAGTGAGTGTGTGGTAGTGGCCAAAGATGCCTGGGCTGAAACTGGGAATCCAAGATGCCACTTGCCGGCATTCACCACTTGGAGTCACCCTTGGCTCATTATTGAGTCAATTCCAGCTTGGAATATCCCAAAACGTCTCTCTAGAGAAGGACCCTTATCCCACTGCTAGAAACGTTCACACTCTGGTTTTACTGCACTGATTCACTGGCAAGAAACCAGCCACGACATGAGAAATGGTACCAAACATAAGGTTTTCTTAAGCCCAGTAACTGAATTTTCATTGTGTTGTTCTTTTAATAGATACACAGCCTACCCAAACAGCAGCTGTGACACTTCCCACAGATCTCTAGCACTTAATGTATTTATTTTTGGACTCTGTATTCTCACTGTTGAAGAAGACAAGCTCGTCTGCTATGCAAAAGTACTGACATATATCGTGTGTGAACAGAATGTGCCAACCTGCACGTTTGCACACATGTGGGACTGTTCCCTGCTGAGGCGCAGCCATTTCTGCTCTGCAACGTGGCAGCACAGAGCTACCCAGCCAGTTCAGGCAGGAAGTGAGGGGGCTAGTTTACAACAGATGAGCCAAGACCTACTTGAAACCTAAAATTTGTCACCAATATTTCAGTTATGAAAGGGAAAAGCAAAACAATAGGTTTCAAATGAGAAGCCCATGAGTGTTCTCTCTTATATTTTCTCATCATTGTAACTAAAACCACAGAGAATCAAATGCAACGGGACGACAACGCAGAGAAATCTTTGGAGACGTGTTCAGAGTCTTGTTAATTGCCTGGCCTCTGTTGTCTGAGAAACAGCTGCATCCCAAGGGTCATGCTGTCATTTGGACAGAAGAGTAGACTGCAGATCGCCTTCCTCTTTGGCTGCAGCCCAGCACGTCTCCAGCAGACTCCACAGCTTCCTGACTGACAAGCCATTTTGAGGGCAACCCCAGCCCCGCAGAGAGCAAGACAACCCTGCGACCCACCAGTCGAAGCACTGGGGACCCACCTGGTCATCTGCTGGATGCACTGAGCTCGGTAGTTCTCGTAGTGAACATCACAAGTGACGTCCTTCAGGTCGTGCATGTGTGTCCGGATCAGCATGTTCCGCAGCTTCACAAAGTCACAGTGCGCCTGGTTTTCCACTGCAGAAGCAACAACAGGAGAGTTCTTGGATGTCACACCTCACCAATCCTCTCCAGGGAGCCCCTTCTCACCTCCCAGCACCCAGGCTGGAACACAGGTCCCCCCAGGGTTCCTTCCTCACCCTCCCACCCCCCCAGCCCTGCTGCAGGCCTGCTCTGTGCTTCTCCATGCTGAGGCCAGGCTGCTGAAGTCACTGTGTTCCCAGGACTTTTCCTAGGCAAGAAGATTAATTAAGCACATATAGCAGAACTCTGAAAGTGGAGGCTGCTCCCAGGCACCTGGGATGTCACTATTACAACCTGCATGAGCACAGCCAGTGCGGGACAAAATGCTCATCTCGGAGTTTAGGACTAAGTGAAAGGCCTCTTGTAGGCAAAATCAGGTCCGAGAGGCAAAGCCATGAGCAGGCAGCGGTCTGGAGAGCTGAAAGAGCTGCTGTTACCACAGGGAGCCACGCTCCAGGCAGCACTGTGGGACTCTGCAGGGAAGCACCATGCTCAGTACCTGTGTGCCTGCTGTGGTGATATCTATTTACCTCTCTGCAGGGCTGGGGGAAGCCAGCTGTGTCAGGCCCAGGGTTTCACAAAGTTATTCCCACTGCCAAATGCCAGCACCCTGAAGGACAGAGCCCCCTCAGGAGCCAGCAAGAGAGCAGAGCCAGCAGCTGGGCAGCCCAAGCAGCCCGCACAGCCCTTGAGTGCACACACAAGCTTTTGAGATCTAAAGCTGCAAGACCTTAAAGCAATGCACCAGCATGGGGGAGCCAGCAACAGCAGCAAAAGCCATCCCAGGGTTATTCTACTTGCAGGCCCCACGAAATTCCTCCCTTTATAAAGAAGACAAACGCATCGTGCATCGGCACAGCCTCCAGCCCACCAGCTTCAGCACTACAGAGGCAGCAGCAGAGGAGGGTCCCTGTTGCGAGTGCCTGCCTGTCCTTCCCCCACCCCTGCCTGTCCTTCGCCCAGGGTGGGCTCCAGGCACCAGCTTACCTTCCACAATGCCCCAGGGGTAGAGCCGTCCGCGGACTCGCTGGCCCTTGGCCTCCACCACCGTGTTACTGCCGATGACGGCAAACGGAGCGCTCTCCTGCAACGAGAGGCGTGGCTGAGCCCCGGCTGCCCAGAGCCCTCCCCCCCGGGCCAAGCCCAGGCAGAGCACACCGGGAAGAGGAAGGTGCTGGTAGGGAAGGCACAGGGACATCCACACGTGCCACAGAACAGGACACCACAAACCAGCTGCAGAGAAAAGCCTAAGGCACTGGGCCTGACCTGCGGGAAGCTCGCTCTCTCTCTCTGCAGGTACCTGCATCCTTTCTTTGAGGGAAGCTCTACTAGGAAGCCAGAGCAGAGAGGCTGGGAGACCAAGCAAGTGGGCCAATATAGGCCAAGAGCCTGTCTAGACAGGGATGCACAGGTTGTGCTCCCCTCTGCTCAGGAGTCAAAGCCAATGGAACCTGTCTGGCAGGGGAAGCGAGGCCGTGCTGCATGCACACACAGGGCTGGCTCAGCTTGGGAGAGGGTGAGGGTCTGGCCTGGGCTGCTGCTGTCTCCAGACAGGCCTGTATGATCATGTTGCTTCCCTGCATGCAATTAATGTGTCACAGTGGTGCTTCATCACTCACAAATTGCTCCTCCTTGCTGACTGTAGCACTCAAATAGGCGCTTTACAAATGCTGCACAACCCAGCCTTCATCTTAAACATACAGGCTGGGGTAGACCAAAGGAAGACTGATACTGCCTGGTGGGAGAGCAGAAGTGCCATGTCTTCATGCCACGCTTGACTTCACGGCACCAGCATGGACATTGACGCTCTTTCCAGACCATCTACCACATAAGCTATCATAGGCCATGCCCTGGCTATCAGTAACACAGGCCTTTGGCACACATAGGGAAGCTCTGGCTCTTTCTGGAGCCTGACTTCCAGTCCCCTGCTGAGCAGGTTCCTTACCTTCAGCTCTCTGTCCTGCTGCTTGAACTCCTCATCTTCATCAGAGTCACACTCAGGAAACTGGTACACTTTAATGCCAAATTTGTCAATCTCCTCCCGGATCTGAGCCCATGGAAGACAAAACCAAAAGGATGCACCACTGAACACCACAGAAATGGTGGGTTTATGCCTTGTTTGTGCTACCATGGGTTTGGTGTAGCCTGCCTACAGATGGTGAAAGGACTTGATGTTTCTTCTAGAGCTGGCCTTTCTGCAGACACCTCTTCCCTTTCTCACAGCAGAGCACTGCTGCAGTAGATCTGCAGGTATTGTGTGTGCCTATATAGACACACACACATGAGTGCATGCACTATATACATATATGTATTTATCTCTCCTCCCTCCTCAGCCCACCCCTGCTGCCACATCAGGTACACCCCTACAAAGACAGGGCATCTCACCCTCTCTTTTAGCTTCCGGATCTCAGAGGGGATCAGGCAGTCAGCTTTGGCAATCAGGGGCACAATGTTGACCTTCTCATGCAGAGCCTTCATGAACTCCACATCCACAGGCCTCAGCCTGCAGCAAGGACAAGGAGGGACACATTAGCCAGGGCACACCAGGCAGCTCCCCCTCCAGCCTCTCCCACCCATGCAGCATGAAGGGAAAAGGAAAACCCTGTCACAAAAGCCTGAGGCAGCCCGCAGCTAGGGCTGTATCTTCAGGAAAGCTGTCTCAGATTTTAGATGCTGAATGCCTCACACAGACCCAGGCTGATATTTGCTCCCTGACAGGCCACATACTCCCCAGGCCACAGCCCAGGACCTCCCTTGAGCTGCCCTCTGCCACAGGCAGCCACCATGTCCCCTCCAGCTGCCCCAGCCTACGCTGGCACACAAGCCAGCAAGAAGCAGGGACTGAAGGCAGCTTAAAACTCCCTTTTCTGCCCATCAGTCATGCTTAGCTAGATAGGAAAATACAAGTCTGTGTGGCATTATTTCTCCTGATTTCCAGAACAGGCTGTAAGGCCTACGGGAGACCCACTCCACCTGATCACAGGCAGTCTGTCATGCCAGCAAGGGGGAGGGTGGTGGTGTGTTCAGCCAAGGGAGAACATCCTATGGCTATTCTCCTGTGACAACAGCCCTGCCAATGTACGAGTGAACAGGGCAATCCTGGGACAATGAGGGTTTTCCCTCTGGACTGTCACGTGCCAGCCCTGGCGTGGGGGCTCTCACCCATGTCCGAAGGGTGAGATGAAGTACAGACAGCAATGCACTCGGTTGTCCTGGATGTTCTTCCTGTTCAGGCCACTCTCGTCACGGAAGTACTGTTCAAACTGCTGGTCGATGTAGTCGGTGATGGGCTTCCAGCTGGGAAGGGCAATTCAGTCAAAACATAATCGTGTGTTTAACAAGACAGTGTCTCTTAGGGATTATGAGACAGCATCATCCCCTCCCTGCTGCTAGACCCCCTTCCTGTGAAGCACCCACAGAAAACAGACCAAGGATGAGGCTTGGCTAGGACTAGGCCAGGCCTAGGCCAAGGGCTAGGAGGAAAGCAGCAGTCCCCTGCTCACCACTCAGTGTTGTTAACAGCATCTCCAAAGCCTGGTGTGTCCACTATGGTCAGCTTCAGCTTGACACCCTTCTCCTCAATGTCCACTGTGTGCTTGACAATCTCCACTGTCTGGTTGATTCTCTCTTTGAACAGGAATCCATGAATTAAAGACAGGCAGTAATGCTAGGCATCCCCACTCACACCCATGACAAGCTGACTCCCTCCTTATCACTGAGCACAGGGAGCAACATAGGTTTCAAAAAACCCTGATCATCCTCTAAGGGCCCTCAAGGGAGCGGTACTGTGGGGGTCCAGCAGCAGGCAGACAGACTCAGAGAATATCCACAAACCTCTGAAGTGCTTGTAGCCCAGCTGTTCTGAACATTTTGTCCAGTCACTTGGGAAGGGGAATCCATACCACACGCCAGCACCCATGAACAAAAGACTAATCTCAACATCTCAACCCCAAGGGCAAGAGCTGCTCTGCAGCCTCATCTTCCCTCCATGGGACAGAAGAGGCCTACAGCCAAACCCTTTTAGCTCAAATACTAGTGCCTCTGCAACAAGCAATGGAGAGCAGAGCAACAAACAGGGCTGGGATCCAGCCAAACCTGTAGCTGCTGCTGAAGCAAGGAACCAAAGTACTAGTCCTTAGGACAGTGTAGATCTGCAGGCACAAAAAAGTGTTCATCCCGTTTTGTCCCCAACTTACCCTCTGCATTGAGGAGCTTTCTGTCTTTGTAGAGATCTGTCAGGAACAGGCTATTCACCAGCGTGGATTTGCCCAGGCCGGACTCTCCTAATTGACAGAGCACAGAGAGGAGGAGGGAAAAGCAAGTAACACAACCCACTAATTGACTTATAAATGAAACTCTGAACAAGGCTTTGAATCCTGAGCCAGAGGAAGCGAAAGAGATGAGCTGTCAGAAGCTGTTTATTGGCATTACATTTTTCCAGCAGTGGGAGGACTTTTGCTGCTGGATGTCTCAATTCTTGTGCAAATGTGATCTCCCAGCTCCTCCAACCTCATTCTCCTTCCTTCCTCTTGACCTCTGGCTGGCCCTGCCTTCACCACTCAGACCAGCAGCCACTCTGTTGGAGGAGAGGCTTGCTCGACTGGGTCAGGAGTGGCTCACTCCTCCTGGAGGAACTCTCTGACTGCAACACAGGTTGGGGAGCAAAGCAAGTTCTGAGACATGACCAGAACAGAGCGAGAGGAGGATCCAGGTGCTAAGGGAGTACCCAAGGGAAGTGAGCAGAGCTGGTCCCCTCCATCCACCCACCACGTGGCCCAGCCACCTCCATCCACAGGCAGTCTCACCTGCGACCATCAGGGTGAAGTCAAAACCCTTCTTCACGGATTTCCGGTGGACCTGGTTCGGCAGAGTGGCAAAGCCCACGTACTGCTTCTCATGGTCCTGCAGGGCAGAGGTGGATGGGAGCAGGTCAGGGTGTGCCACCCCTCCTGCTCAAGCCTCACACTGTGGCAGGGAGTTGGACTCATAAAGCCTCCGAGGCAGAGCCAAGTGTTGGAGGAGAGGTCGGTCCCTGCCCCGGCAGCTGTGTGGGGCAGGGTGTGCATCTCCTCTAGGCTCAGGGACTTCTGCATCTCCTGCAGGTGAGCACAGAGGGCCACGTCCTCCCAGCAGCCCTGCTTGGCTGCTATCACCAGCCAACACAGCAGTTCATGGCAGCCTCCCAGCAAAGAGCACAAGGGAAAAGGCACAAACCACCATTCCCACCAGAAAGCACATCTGGGGCTGGTACTGACACACAATCGTCCTAACTCTTTGCTTCTCCTGCACAGTCGCAGGCTCCCATTACAGCAGGGTCACCACACGTCATCTCCCCCAGGTCTTTCTGAGTCATTTCTACATCTCTCACTCCAGAGACACATGTGGTACATGATGGTACAGAGCTTTCTGTAATTAGCACTCAAGGGCTTGTGGTGTCCTGAGCCACGTCTAGAGGTGGTTTGGCTCCTCCTTGACCTGTGAGGGGATTACTTCTTGCTGTGTCACAGCCACTCCTGGCTGAGTAAGAGGAAATCCTGACTAATCTCTAGTGTTATTTCTGGAGACAGAAGTTCGAGGAGTACAGTAAGTGGGGACACGCCGATGTACTGCTACCACAGATGAGATGTAATCCCATCTTGGGCATGGCATTACAGACAGCATTGCTAGAGGGTCACCTACTGCCCACCCCCCCAGGTGCAGCTCTATCACAGAGTGCTCCCTCGCAGCCTAAGAGCTGCAGCCCCCAGCATGACAGAGACTCTGGGGCAGCAGCGACACGAGCAGTGGAGTGTTCCACCAGCCAGGAGCAAACACACAGCACAGGGTACGTCCCAAAAGGTGAACTCCGATGGTCTCCAAGACTCACAGCCCTGCTCCAGGTACTGCCCTCGGCCCGGGCTCAGCACGTGGTGCTCACGGCTCAGGCAGCTGCAGGTAGCCGTGGGCCACGCAGCCCGGCCGCTCCAGCCAGCCCGCCTCCAGCTGAGCAGCCCTGGTCCTTCAGAGCCCACTCCCCCACGGCAGCGTGTGCCCCTCCCCAGGCCCCATTGCAGAGGGAGGGTGGACACAGACCCTAGCGAACACTTCCCTCCTCACATACTTTCTAAGCTAGGCCCAAGGGGAAGCAGCCATTCACAAATGCCTGAGCTAGAGGCATTGTAGACTCTGCTTTTCAACATCACTTAAAACAAACACACCTCTGGGATTCACACTACAAGCAAATCCAAGGAGCCAGGAGTTCCTCAAAAGCAGCTCCAGCTCCCACCAGCCAAGAACCCCTTCATCCCACAGCCCTCCAGCACTGCTTGTCCAGGCACAGCAGGGAAGGCCTCTGGTCCTCAGTTTAACGATCTTCTCCATTCCTGGGGCAGACACTCAAAGAAATACAAATTACAACCCAGTGTGTCAAGTTTAGTGCAATGCTGACTTTTACCTATTTTCATACTGCAAGTGGGCAATTGCAGCTCCTGAACAGCCCTCTACAGCCTCTGGCTCCATGTCCACACATGGGGCACCCTCTGCCAGGCAGATAGCAAAGTCCCACTGGGCACATACCGCAGGGAGGAGACAGTCTCTCCTCATGATTTATGGCTGCTCTGGAGCTGCCCTCTCAGACAGGACACACAGAGTTGATGGCCATTGTGGTCCAAGGACTCTGTTCCTCAGCACAGTTACCACCTTCTAGAAATTTAGGTTTGGCTTGGGTCTCAGCCTTGTTCACTTTACCCCTGACAGACAGACTCACCATGGGCTCTGGTCTCCCCCACCTCATCCACTTGCTAACGTGGCTGAAGCAATGCTATTTCACCAGCCCACAGTCCAGAAAGGCAGGAAGGGACACAGCAAACGAAATTAGAGAAGTGGGGAGAATTAGAGAGTGCCCAGAGCACTCCACTGGCAGCTCTAACAGCTCAGGTAAAATGCAGTGGCATCCCAAAGCAGCAGCAAAAGCCCAGGGTGAAAAGTCATGGCAGCTCTGACAAGGTGCATGAAATAAAGCAAAGCCTGCCTGGGGGACACAGCCAACAGCCACCCAAAAGGCCCAGCTATGGGTAATCGTGAGGTGTGCAAAGCAGGCCGAGAAATCTGATAATGGCAAAATGAAGAAAACAAGAGAAAAAAAAGGCCACTTCCAGCCTGTGTCCCTTGGTGCCAGAGCTGCCTCCCAGCTGCTTTGCTGCTCCGTGGAACACACGAATGAACACAACCAAAGCACACACGTGGCAGCCTGCACCTCCCCCTGCGAGGGCGAGTGTTGCTCAGCGAGTGGCACAAACGTACAGCATCCTTCCCTTGGGCCCCACATGCAGCCAAGCTTTGGGGCAGTGCAGGAAGAGACCTGCCCCAGTCCTTACCAGGCACCAGCCTCCTGCTCTCTCCAGCGCCTTCCCATGTGCAACAGTACTTGTAACGTGCTAATGAAGCCATTGCTGAGGCTTGGGGGGAATTTCTCTTATTTTGGTTTTTAACCTAGGTGACTAAGGGCTGACAATGGAGACACTGGGGAGCTGAGCTCTGCTGCAACTCTGCTTGCTTCAGCCAAGTGTAGCTGGCTGAACCTGATTTCTTGTTTCTGTTCAGCCCAACCAAGTGTGGATTCACTGCAACCCTAGTCACCTCCCCATAGCTTGGTGGAATCATAGCACTGAATGAGCAAATCCGGGCTGGCGCAGGATGCGGCCCTTTACCCACCACTCATGCAGTCATCTGCCTCACAGTAAAGAAGGTTGGTGCTGAGCACAATACCAAAGAGCTCCCCTTGTAGCAGGAGGCAGCCAGAGTCACAAGGGGAAAAGCTTTGCCCCCAGCCATGCCTCCCTCTGACCAGCCACAGAGGCACTGCAGAGCCATCAGGAGCTGGTGGCCAGCATGCCTGCCAAGGGCGAAGGTAAGAGATGCAAGGAAAACTGTGTAGAGGGATCCCTTTCTTCTAACACCCTTGGTGTGGTCCCTGCAGCATGGCCAGCCTAGACCCATGGTTTCTCATCTTGGCTTTGAGACACCCAATGTGTGTTCCCATTCTAGCCATGTTGCCACCATGACAGGCATGTTCCACCATCTCCTCTCGTGTGCCAACATCACCATTGCAGTTAAGGAGTCCAAGCAGCCTCCTGAGCCTGGTGTCTGCCTTGCTTAAAGATGTACCATCTCTCTACCAAAGCTCTCCCATCTTCATTAGGACCCTACACAGATGCTATCTGCAGAGCAGCTGTGCACAGGGTGGAGAGTGCTGAAGGCAGTGTAGAGGGCTGGGAGGCCCACTGAAGGAGACAGGTGGCTTTCTGGGTCATGAAAAGCTACAATCCATTAATTAGATGAGAGACTTGAATTGAGGGAGTTCCTAGAGGCCTCACAGCCCCTTCTGCATGCTCCTGACCCTCACTAGCCAGTTCTGTTCCAGCTGACAGAAGCCAGGACAGCCGGTGGCTGCACCACGCTCCCCTCACCAGCCCCAGCTGTCAGGGAAGGGCCCTGGCCAGCTGAGCCATCAGCAATCTGGAACAAGAAGCCTCCCGCCCCATCGCCTCCTCCACATGCTGCCTTTGTTCCCACTGGTGTCCTGCTCCCACGTGCCTGGCAACATGCCCCATGCACTGTGGTGGAGGCCACCACGAGATGTGGCTGACCTTTCGGGTCCTGTTAGAAACGAAAGCACCCCAGGCCAAGCAGAACGTGTCTGTGCTCTCCCTCACCACATCCGCACTGGTTCACCGGACATCAGGACAACACGTCCCATCCTCACATCCTCCACTACCTGGCTGAGGTGACCAAGGCTCCCTGGCAGGCAGTGATCTCCCTGGGAGTTCAAACCAAGACTAAAGCACTGGTGGGTTCGAGCCCTGTTCCTACTGGGAGGAGAAACATTTGGGATCTGTTGCACAAAGGAGATGCCATCCCTGGCACTGAGGTGCCCACAGGGCTGTCTGTACCTCCTCTAAGACAGGGTATACAGCACAGCCTCCATTGCTCCTGTTCTTCCCGAATCCCTCCTCACCACTGTGGTGGATGTGCTGTTTAAATCAGTCCAGATCTCCTGTGACTTCACCATTCAGCCTGGGGATAAATGGGGCCTTGCTGAGTATATGCAAAAGGGCTAAAATTAAACAATATGGAACGACAGAATTTGAAGAATAGCCCCTACCCCAGGCCTGGAGCAAAGCCCTGAAATGATGCAGCTCGTGCTGGGATCCTGGTGCCCCTGCCTCCATTTCTTCGTGGCG